GCCCGCCCCGCCCCGCCCCGGCCCGGGCAAACCCCTGACGGGCGGCGGAGATGGGGCAGTCCGGCCGTCCACCGACGGCACCCCTTCGCTCGCTGCTTATCCCGCGTCCAGGGAGCTGAACTAACCCCCGGGGGAAGGCCAGGCTTCAGGCCAACAGCGGCGGCTGCATCAGGGCTGCCGCGCAGCCTCACAAGCCGGCGGCACGCCAAAGCCATCTACTCTCCCCGGACCCTTCAGCCTTCTGCCCGCATACATGCTGTCTGAGTCCAAACCACTCAGGAAATCGGAACCACGCATTTCCAAATCGCGATTCCTGGTTGGAGTTTCGCCGTTTGTTTTAGGAACTGGTTAAATCAAAAAGGAGAGGGAAGAAGTGGGAGCAGGCAAAGCAAACCACTAATACTGTGTTCTCGTTCAGTCCTTCCCCGGCTCTTTAGAAATGGGGCTTAAGAACTGTTTGTTTGGCCGAAAGAGCGTTTTTTTAGGGACATGCAGCAGTTTATCTGGCCCACACTGGAGTTGGTAGGCTCTTAAGACACATGGGTGCAAATCTCCATTTTCTGATCAGGGTTGTGTTACTCGCGTGTCACAACGCAGCTGATGCAACCTCTGTGTGACAAGCTGACCGATTAAAAAAGTAGCTGTTGGCAGAAACTGTCCAATTGCTCCCTCCTGTTGTCATTACCTGTTCAGGCCAGAGTTACTCTGACAAACTTGGCTGAGGAGCTGGTAGTAAAGCTAGGCTCGAGGCTCAGAAGCCCTTGCTGTGACTGTAAGAATAATGTGTCAATAAACGCAATATGTACTAAAGAAACTGCTACTCAGATGCAAATATAAGCAAAATTCTTTAAATTACTTTCACCCTTTTTTTCAAAATAGCATTTGTTATCTTGTTTGAAAACATTCAAAGCAAACACAAAACAATCACTTTAAAAGTCTGAGGTCTGCTTATTAACCAAAATTCACCTTCTTTCTTGACAGCTGATGAAGAATTCAATGAGCTTTGCTTTGAATTTGGTTTGGAGCTTGATGAAATTGTAAGTAACATTTTTATTTGTTACTTTTTCAGTACTGACAGCATTTCTATTTGGGAAGAGTTTGTACTGCATTATTTCCAGCATATTCCCTGGTACCGTGTTGGCCGATGCCCTCTAGCATGTACCAAGAAAATGTCTAGGCAAGGTTTGGAGGATGCCAGGCCCCAGGTATCCACAAAAAGCAGTGTGGACAAGACTTGAAGGCCCCCTTGGCCTATGCAGTCTTACAGCAGTACCGCAGCAGGCTTTTCATCCTGAAACATCCTCGTGCATCTCCATACCACAGGGCAGAGCATGTAACACATACCTTTAGGTTCCTGTTATAAAATACTGTTGTGATAGACTGTATTAACACAGGTGGTTTGAATCTGAAAAGAAAAACAGACATACAAAACTTACCGTCTTGGAAGCGAGAGACCCCAAGATGGCGTATCGCTATGCTTCGTGGAGGTCGGCAGTCTGTGCCACTTGGTCTTCAGTCTCTGGCCCCACTTTATTTAGCAGCATAAATATGGCCACAGGCCATGTATTGAACATATTTTACAAGGTCTGTTTGGTTTTGTTTTGTATGCATTCTTCTGTGCAATGTCCACAAAACTGTATTTGTCCTGGACATTGTTACCTAAGTTGTAACTAATTTACATTTGAAGTTTTGATTTAGATTCTGTACTTGTGAAAATTTGCTGGCGCTGTTAACTGTACCCATGTAAATCTTGTTCAGGTAGACCTGTTTTGGTTTTGCTTTTTAATTTGAATTAATTGATCTTTTAATGACGTTTATCAAAAGACATCTGAACATCATAAGTTATGCTTTATCTCAGAACAGACTTGATATGACAAGTCATTTGCCGATCGATTGCCAAAGTAAGGTCTCAGTTCTCTACTGGGATCTGCTAGCCTGCAGACTCTTGCTTCTATAATCTCTTTTTCAAATTCTAATAGTGAAATTTTTTTTCGGTATACTGCATTACAATCTCCGAATCTGAGAAAGATTTAGATTTTACATCGTTTCTGGTATTTGGTGTGTCCATTTGCTGTATAAATCCAAATTACACCTTTAAACTTTTAATTAATACAATTTTTCCTATTGTGTTATCTCACTATCATACTCCTGTCAATGTTGAGATATTTCAGGTTAAAAAGACATTTTTGCTTAATTTCAGACATCTGAGAAAGACATTATAAGTAAAGAAAAAGGTGAAGAAAAGGCAAAGGGCGCATCTGATACCGTTCTCTATAAAATTGATGTTCCCGCCAACCGTTACGATCTTCTTTGCCTTGAAGGGTTGGTCCGAGGGCTGCAGGTCTTTAAAGAAAGGTAATGCAGAGTTGTGAGGTTTTTGTGTGGTTTGTTATTTGTTTAAATAAGAGTCCATTTCTGGTCAGTAAACAAACTTGCCACTTGCTTGGATTTTGAGTACGATCTCATGTGTAGATCAGATTTGTCAGATCTTCCTCTGGAGAGGATCTATTGTATATTTTTAAAAAACTAGACTAGAATGTTACTGGGTTTTGGATCTGTTCTAAAAATTTTTCAACTGCTGTTCCATTTGAGACTTACCCTCTGTAAAGAACGCCTGCAGAGGAACTTCCTTGTGATCCTCTGTAATAAATACCAAAACAAATCATTTATTTCACTTTTCTGCTGTGACTTTATCTTCTTGAGTCCTTCCTTTCTAGTTCAGTAATCTGTTTACCATCCCATAGAAAACAAGTTTTAAACAGTAAGCTAATTTACATGCCAAGAAATGTTACAGTGAAAGTTTTCTACATATAATTGTTGCTACATTTCTAAAGTTTCCTGCATTTGGGGAACTGTCTTTCTTTCAGATACAGACTTATTTCTGGTTTTATTCTAGGATAAATCTCCCTAGGTACGAAAAGATAATACCAGCTCAGGGTGAAGGTCAGAGGCTGATTATCACTGAAGAGGTAAAAGTGCTGACTGCACCTTTGTAAATTTGTTGAGAGTTTCTGAACTAGCAAGATAGGTATCAGTACCAATTTTAGAAGAGCAGTGAGACTGGAAATCTTATTTGCAGAACAAGAGCTAAAGAAATTTAATTATCTCTACTCATTGCGATTTACTTCTAGGGAAGGGGAGGAACAATAGACTAATTATTTTGGGTGAACCTAGTAGCAAATCAAATCAAAGTTTCAGATGCTCACATTGCGTTGACCTTCTGGGCCATTACGAAGTATATTGGAAACCTCCTTGTCTCTACCAGACCTGGAGTGGGTTTGTTTGGGTTTTTTCCCCTTTGGGATTCTGGTGTCTTTCCATGAATTTTCCTTTTGATTACTACTTTACAAAAGAGGATTTTATGACAAAAGTGCACATTTATTCCGTTTTAGTTTTGTATATTCTGTGTACTTGAAATTTATAATGTGTTGCTGTTGTAAATTGCAGACTGTCCAAGTCCGTCCTCATGCTGTAGCTGCAGTCCTTCGTAATATAACTTTTACCAAGGAACGTTATGATAGTTTCATTGACCTCCAAGAAAAACTACACCAAAATATTTGCAGGTTAGTGCTTAAATTTAAAGTAGCATATAG